GTGTGTGGGGGGGGGGGGGGGGGTGGAGTGTCAGTGACTGCAGAGCACCCGGCTGAACAAAGCTACAGGGGGCAAGCGGCTCCCAAGGGGGCATTTGCCCCACACCCTCACCTGGCTGGGCCCCCCGTCAGCGTGGCGTCGATGACGTGTTCATTGTTGATGCGGAACATGTAGATTCCTCGGTTCTGGGGCCGGAAGAGCAGAGACAGCCAGTTATGCAGCCGCAGGGGCAAGGGTGTCCCTGGGAGCAGCCCGGGCTCTGAGCCTGCAGGGTGCTCCAGCCCCCCCCCCCCCCCAGCCCCACCCCTCACACCTGCTCCTCGTAGATCTTCTCGCGCCGGTTGGCCACCTCGTTGCGGATGATGGTGCCGATGTACTCGATGACCATGGTGTGCTTCTCCAGGTCCTTGGCGGCGTAGAGCCCCAGCCCCTGGATGCGGGAGCGCGCCAGGTACACGTTGTTCTTCCACTCGGTCTTGAGGCGGCGGTACTGCGAGGACTTGGAGTGCACGAACTGCTTGCTGTAGGGCGTGTTGGTCTCGCCCGTGAAGGTGCTCTGGTAGGCCTTGGACATGCTGGTGCTGTTTAGGGTGTGGGGCCTGCGACAGGCGGAGAGCATGGGCACGGCGGCAGTGGGGCAGATGGGGGTGGGGGGAGGGACCAGCACTGACCCCCAGCCCCAGCACATGGGGCCCCAAGGGAGTGGCTGGGAGAGCCCAGCCCATTGGGGCCCAGTTTGCAATCCCCTCCTCCCCGGCCCAGCCCCAGGCCTGGGGAATCCCAAGCTCCAACCCAGGCCACGGCCCCTCCCCCACAGGTGGCCCCCTGAGGGGAATGGCCCTCCTCCCCCTGCCCCGCTAACCGTTTGTAGTGGGTGAGGATCTTGGGCTCGGAGCGGGCGCAGCCGGTGGGGTTGATCATGAGCGGCAGCTCCATCAGCGGGTGGCGCCCGTAGCGGAACAGGTAGTTCTGGCAGCTCTCCACGCCAGGCAGCTGGGAGGGACCAAGCAGAACCCGCCGTGGGTCGGATGCCAGCACCACAGTCCTGGTGCCTGCAGGGGACCCACTGAAAAGGACGAGCCCTGTTCCGCACCCCCGTCCCCTCGGGGTGCTTCCCTGAGTGTGCCCAGCCGGCACCAGCACCGGCCCCTGTGCTGGGCCAGGGTCCCCGGGGGAGTCCCGGCCGATGTGGTTCCGAGCGTATCGCCGGGTGCTGTGTCCCTCCCACCTCCAGCCTGCCCCTCCCATTGGGTGAGGGGTTCAGGGCTCCCCTCCGGTACATACGGACTCGGCGATGCGCAGCACCGCGTGCACCGTGAGGCCAAAGAGCTCCTCGCCTTTCAGGTACTCGGGGAAGAGCCGCAGCATGTCCGCCTCCTTCCTCATGGCCGCCACCGGCTCGATGATGCGGTTCCAGACGGCTGGGGGGGGGAGGGAAACATGAGACTTGGCTTCCTGACCTGCTCCCCGCCAGCCCCCCTCACCCTCAGCAGTGATTCCCGGTGGCCAGGCAAACAAGCCCAAGGCATCAGCTCCCCCACCACTGTGAAATGCAGCCACCTCTGAGGCGGGCTGCAACAGCAGGTTAACAGCCACAGAATTATGCTGCCAGAGACGGGTCACCCAGTGCTCCAATGCAGCCAGCTCTAGGGTGGGACACAGCAGCTGTTTATACAGGGATCCCCCCCGCCCAAGGCTGAGCCAGGCCCAGTCTCACCCTGTGGCGAGGAGTCGGTGAAGACCAGGTCCTCCAGGCCCTGCTCGATGACCTGCACCACGAACTCAGGGCGCCCGTTGTTCTCGCAGATGGTGCAGCGGTAGCAGCAGCGGCGGTTGTTGGTGCGCAGGCTCCAGTAGATGCGGGTGGCCTCGAAGCCCACAGGGTAGAGGGCTGTGACGCTGTGGAAGTCGCCCATCTGGTGGGGCAGCAGCTGGCCGATGGCGTGGAAGAGCAGGCCGCCCACGCGGAACATGTGGAGGCGCTCGCCGCGCTGGATGATGCTGGCGATCTGCTTGACCTCGTCGCGCTCGATGTAGACGCGCCGGAAGACGGTGAAGGTGCTGAGCTCCTGGTCGCAGGGGCCTTTGAGCTTGTGCAGCGGGCACAGCATGGTCTTGTCCTTGAAGAACATGCACTTGGCCCGGATGGCGCAGGCGAAGTGGTAGACGCTGGGGCAGCGGATGCGGTTGCAGCTGTTGGTGGCGCCCGTCTTCTGGCACAGGGAGCACTTGGTGAGCAGTCCGCGGTGCAGTGCCCCCTCCACGTTGATCAGCGCCCCGCCCTGCGTCTCGTACACCTCACTGGACCACAGGGCGCAGTTCAGGTGCACCCAGAGGTCCAGGTCAAGGTTGAGGAGGCGGGCGGGCCCGTCGGTGGCACCGTCCCCCTCCTCGTGGCAGAAGCAGCACTTGCGCAGGTCCCGGGGCACCTTCTCGGGCCGCAGGGTGGTGCCCAGCTTCTCGATGAACTCGGAGATCTCCTTCTCGCCGTCCTGCTTGGCGCCGCCCTTCTGGATGGTGATAAGGAAGCGGAGCCGCTTCCACCGCACCCCCTTCCACTTCTTGAGCCGGGGCCGGGGCTCCTCTCCCTCCTCTGGGGGCCGCGAGCGCTGCTTGAGCTTGGGCGGCGAGCGCGCCGCCTCCTCCTTGGAGGGCGGGGAGAGGGCTGGCGGGGAGGGGGGTGCGGGGGCCACCTCAGGGGGTGCCTCTGGGATCCTGTCCCCGTCGGCGGGGCTGGCAGGGGAGGGGACGAGGGGGGACAGGGGCGGGGACGGCTCCTGGGGCAGGATGGAGAGCTGACGCACGTCCAGGTTGGAGACGTTGTTCACGTAGCAGTGCTGCACGGCCTTCTCCAGCCCCGGGCTCTCCTGGGGGCACAGAGCAGGGCTGATCAGAGTGCAGCCGCAGGGGCTGGGCCCAGGGCTTCTCAACACCTCCCCCCGCCCCGGAGCCAGACAGCCTCGCTGTGGGGACTGGGGGGCCTCACCCAGGAGATCAGCCCAGCCAGAGGCTGCCAAGCCAGAGTGCGGCTGGCCCTATGCTTTGACCTTCAGAGCTGCCCCCCGCCCCGATTCCGGCCCCGGGCCAAACACCCACCCCCCCGCGCCTGAGAAGCCCCCCGCTGCGCGTCACTGACCTGTTTGAGCAGCGTCAGGATGTCCTGCTCATTCTTCAGGCTGTACCCCGGCAGCATGGCATCAAACTGCTTCAGCCACTCGGTGCCAGCGTCGGGGGCTTTCCCTGCCAGTGCCGCCCTGGCCTTGCCACCGAGCCCACCTACGAGAGAGACGGGTCCCCATGGCTGCACCGCAGGCTCCCAGCGCCCAGGGGGGGGGGATGGAGAAACCCTCTGTTCACAGGGCTCCTCCCCCAGCGAGGGGGTCCCAGGGCCTGCCCGATACTCACCAGCCCCGTCCGTCTCCACCTTCTTGGCCTCGGGCCCGGAGCCCCGCACCGGGCTCTCAGGGAACAGCACCTCGTAGGAGCTGGGGATCTTCATGCGGAGCAGCTCGGCCACGGCCACCATGACGCCGTTCAGGTTCTGGGGGAGCAAGAGGCTGGGTCAGAGACGCCGCTGCGGCCCCAGCCAGGGCAGGACCCTGCTCCCGAGCTCCCCAGGGGCAGGGCCCGGCGAGACGATGCCAGGGGGCTCTCCGCATGGGCCGAAGGGAGCCCCGGCCCTCCCCACTCCCCCCACACGCGGCGCCACCCCCACCTTAGCAGCTGCGGCCGAGACGGTCAGCATGACGGAGACTTCGCTGCCTTTCCCCTTCTCCCATGCGACGCCCTGCGCCAGGGCCACCTTCCCGCCGTGCTCCCCGAAGGCCTCCCGCGCCTCGGGGGGCCTTGGGTCAGGGAACACTGAGAGCAGGAGGAAAGACAGTTTAGGTGCGTGCGGCGCCCACCCCCAGCTTCCAGGGACCCCCATGCACCCCCAGGCCATGCCAAGAGGACATGCCTCCTGGTCCCTCCCTGGGTATCCAGCCCACTTCATAGGGTCCCCCCATACACGCTGCCCCCAGCCTCCAGGCCAACCCAGCCCACCCCCCAGGGCCCCTATACACACTGCACCCAGGCCAACCCAGCCCTTAAAGGGGCACTCGCCCACGGGGATATCCTTCCCCCAGCTACCCAGCCCACCTTTCTAGGACCCCCACCCCTACCCCTGCCCGTGCCCACCTGGGATGCTGGCCCTGGGGATGATGGGGATGACGGGCGACAGCACCCGCTCCGGCAGCTCCAGCTTCACCTCGGCCAGCAGGGGAAAGCGGGGCGGCTCCTCGCCCAGGACGCTCTCTGGGGACGAGGCGGGGACGATGCTGTCGGGGGAGTCGCTCTCCTCGTCGCTCTCCATCCTGAGAGGGGGGACGGTGGTGAGATCCCGCAGACCAGGGACCCCCCTGCCATCCCTCATGGGAGCCTGGGGGGCCGTCGCCCCCCCCCCACTACACCCAGGAGACTCCCCACAACCCCAGCCCCCCCCAGTACAGTGCTTGGCACGGCCAGGGGACACCCCCACCCTCCCCAAGGGAACTGGAGAGGGGCAAAACAATGGCCCAGCCCAGGACGGGAGCCCACCCCCAGCCCAGCCGGCTGCTCCCCCAGCCCCTCACCTCACGTCCTCGGTCTGGTTGTGCGGGGGCGTGGGCAGGGCCGCCAGCAGGTCCAGGCTCTTCACCTCCACGGCTGGCGCGTCTGGGCAAGGGAAGGAGGGCGAGGGTCAGGAAGCACCAAGGCCTGGCGCAAGGAGCCAGACGCTGTCCTGCCATGGGCATGCGGCCCAGCACATCAGCCCCGCCCCCGGTCCTACAACTCCGCCCCTGCCCCATTAGCCCCGCCCCTGGCCCATCAGCCCCGCCCCCAGCTCTACAACTCCACCCCCGGCCTGTCAGCCCCTCATCCCTGGCAGAAGCTCCTCCCACTTCCCATCAGTACTGCTCCTGGGTTGGCCAGCAGGGGGCACCGAGTACCCACACAACCCCCCCCACCAGAGGTCATCGCCCCCCTCAGACACTGCTCCCCTGGGGAGGGGGCAGGTTGGCAGCTCCAGCCTGGGCCCCAGCTGTGGGACAGGGCGTGTAGCCCTCGCTCGCCTTACCCTTCCGGCCTTCGGCTTCCCGGGCCTGGTCCGGCTCCTTGGGCTGCTCGGCCAGCTCCTCCGAGGAGGTGACGCCGTTCACCATCTTCTGCTGCACGGAGGGGGGTGGGGTGGGGGGCAGCGAGGAGGGCGGGGTGGGCGGGTTGCTCAGGTTGTTCTGCCGGAGAGGATCCATCATGGATGGTCACTGTCAGGCAGCATCCCGCCCTGCCCCTCCCTGCCCCAATCCCTGCTCTCCCTGCCCCCCCCCCCCAAGTGGGTGGCTCAACTCTGTTAGTTCACCCGCAGATGGGGAGACTGAGGCACGGGGCCTTGCCCACGCTGGGGCGGGCGGTACCTTGGTGAGCAGTTGGGTGTAGTAGTCGGGGACACTGTCCAGCACGGCGCTGCCGAACGCCCCCTTCAGCTGGCTCTTGCCGTTGATGGGGCTGCTGCCGAAGGGCGCGAAGAGGCTGAAGTTGGCCGTGATGGTGGGTTCCACCAGGGGCAGCAGGGAGAACTCCTGCGGGGGGAGGGGGGAGAGATGCAGTCAGGAGGGGACACCCCCGAAACTGCCCAAGCCATGAACGTGTGGGCAGCTTCTCCCCTCTGGGCTGGTACAGACAATGGGGTACCCCCCTCCACCCCAGCGTTCCCTCTCGGTTTGTACGTCCATGTGTGGAATGAATTTTGTTATGGGCACCAATATGGAGGTGACACGCACAACAAAAATCATGTGGTGGAGGTGGGGCCGAGGGGTGCTGGAGGGGGCTCAGGGCTGGGTGCAGGGGGTGACGGTTCCCACTAGGGGTGAAGGCCCTGGGATGGGGATGAGGAATTCAGAGTGCGGGACGGGTCTCAGGGCTGGCACAGAGGGTTGGGGTGGGGGGATGGGCTCTGGGGTGGGGCCAGGGATGAGGGGTTTGGGGTGCAGTCTGCCCAGGGGCTGTGGTGGGGAGAGAGGACTCCCCCTCAGCCCCCTCTCGCTGCAGCAGCTCGGGGCCGGGGGAGAAGTGCCTTTTCCCAGCTGCGGCAAGTCCGGGGCAGGTCCATGCTGGGGCCGGCGGGGAGAAGTGCCCCCCCCCCCCCCCGCAGCCCTGAGCCCCTGCACACAGCTTAATAGGCAGCTGCACGGTCGCGCAGCTTAGAGCGAACTTCGCCCCCCACCCCACCCCCAGATTGGGGCCCCCCGGCGTGCGACCCAACCAGACCAGACCAGACGGCCCTGGGAGACCCGCCAGTCCCAGCCCCTGGAAATGGCAGGGCCAGGTCCGGGCTACGCGAGGTGCCGGGGGGCAGGGGAAGGGGCAACGGCCGTTACCTGCTTCAGCTGCTTCATTAGGGCCTCGCTGGATTTGAGCCCATCCTCCTTGCGCAGCTTCTTGCGGGAGGCGGCCACCCGCTCCCCGCTCTTCTGGGCCCGTTTGGGCTTCGGGGCCGGAGGCTTCTTGCTGGCGGAGGGATCCTGTGGGGAGAGGGTGAGTCGCGGGGCTGCCTGCTGCCCCACAGGGCAGGGGCTGGGTGCGTGCCCTGCACACCACTGCACTGACCCCCCCCACCCGCCGCACACCCCCCCATCACCCTGGCATGGCCCCCGCTCACCTCTCGGCCAGGGGGAGCCGCCTGCAGCCTCTGCTCCAGCCCTGAGAGCTTGCCCTCGCTGTGCCCGTTGACCTCCGGGCGCGGCCCCTCGGCGGAGCACTGCGACGCCAGCTGCACGTTCTTGGCCCGCAGCAGCTTCTGCAGCAGCAGGTGCCCGGCCTCAGACCTGGCGCCCGCCAGGCTGCCCATCAGTAGATTGTTGGCCGGGGCGGGTGCCGGATCCCCGTTGGCCTCGCGTTTCACAGCCTGGCCCCCGCCCAGCACGCACGGCGCTGTCTCCTCCTTGGGCTCCTGCTTGATGCAGAGCCCGGGGGCCTGGGCTGGCAGGGCCCCCCCTTGCAGAGGAGAGGCCTGTGGGCCTGGCCTTTCTACCCCCTGCCCGTTGACTTGACTCCCGGCCGGTGGCTTTCTCGATCCATCCGTGGGCTCCATGCTGGGAGAGGAGTGGGGACCCTGCGCTGCCGACTCCCAGTGGCCAGGGGTCCCGGCAAAGGACTCCTCCCCTGTTTGGCTGGGGGGAGGCTTTGGGACCGCGGGCACCGGCTCCGCCAGGAGGCTGTTCTGGGTGGGCGTCAGCCTGTGTTCGGGCTGTGCCCCGGGGCTCTGTGCCACACTGGGCGGCCTGGCCAGGGTGGGCGGGGAGGCTTCCTTTGGCTCTTGGGGGCTCTGTTCCCGGCTGGGTGGGGGGTGCTGATGCACAGAGCCCAGGCTCACCATGCTCATGGGCGGCTGGACCGGGGCAGCTGCCGGCGGGGCAGAGAGTCTGAGCACCCCCTGCTGGGGACTACGTCCTGCCAGCGCCGTGTGCACCAGCTCCGCCAGCGGCTGCTGGGGGGCGCTCAGCGGCACTCTCTGCTGGCCGGCGGACGCCTGCTCCATGACAAACCCTGGCTGCATCTGCTCGGCAGCAACGGAGGGGCCGGCTGGCCGGACCTGGAACACTGTCCCCGGCTGCCTCGGTTGCTGGTGCACCACGGAGGCCTGCAGGGCTGAGGGGGGGGGTGGCCCCTGCTCGACGGATGCCTGGGCCTGCCCCGGGAAGGGGCTGGGCTGCCTCAGCGCCTGGCTCTGCTGCAGCAGGCTCTGCTGGTGGCGCTGCACCAGGAAGGCCTGCAACTGCTGCTGCTGCTGCAGGGTGAGGTGCCGCAGCTGCGGGTTTTTGGAGATGACGCCTTGCAGCTGAGCTCGGATTTGGCCCATCACGGGAGCGGACACCTGGCTCAGGATGCTCTGTGCATGGGACACCTGCGGGACCAGCATGCTCTGCTGCGGCTGCCCCATCAGCCCGGCCTTGTGCTGCCCCGCCGGGCTCGGCAGCCGCTGGCCCACCAGCCCTTTCGCTTGCTGTTCTAGGCTTTGTGCTGGCGGTTGGCCCACAATCCTTTGCGGCGGCGGCAGCTGGACCATGATGCTTTGCCCCTGGCTCGTCATGCTCCCGGGCTGCTGTTGCTGTTCTGCCCCTGAGCTCGGCGGGGCCAGCAAGTGAGGCCCCTGGGCAGGGTCCGAGTGCGGCTGCTCTGGCCTCATGCTGCCCCCCAGCTGCGCCAGCCCCCCGCTGTTCTGCAGCGGTGGATGAAGCAGGTTGCTTTGCTGCAGGCCCCCCTGCATTCGCTGCGGCGGCTGCAGCTGCAGGGAGCTCGCCATGATCTGCTGCGGGGAGGGCAGGGGGCGGGGCTGCTGCTGCCCCGGCTCGGGCTGGTGTTTCTGCGGCGGCTGCTCCTGGCTGGCCAGTGCCAGGGGATTGAGGTTCTGAATGCCCTGCTGCTCCTGAGTGCCCATGTGCGGCTGCCCCCCGAGGTCCTGGCTGCCCGGCCCACCCACAGCGGCCGACAGCTGAACCGGATGCTGCCCCCTGCCCTCGGCACCCTCTGGGGGCAGCACAGCGCTCTCTGCCCCGCCCTGCTGCTCCTTGGCGGCCGTGCCCTGCGGGGCTGGCTGAGCTCCCTGACTCAAGTGCAGCATGGAGGGGGACTGGCCCAGGGCCCCATGCTGTGGAAAGTGCTGGATCTGCTGCTTGGCAGCCTGCCCCTGCCCCAGGAGGCCCGGCTGGGCGGCCTGCCCCTGCCCCTGCCCCTGCCCCAGCAGGGCCGGATGCTGTGCTATAGAGCTCTGCTGCTGCTGCTGGGTCAGCAAAGTCCGTGACTGGCCCAGAAGTCCCGCCTGCTGCTGCTGCGCTGGCGATAAAATCAGCCGGTGGCCCATGAGGCCGTGAGTTTGCTGCACCAGCTGGGGCGAGCCCAGCACCCTCTGCTGGTGGGGCGCTAACAGCACCTGCCTCGGGGGGTTCTGGTGGCCCGCGACGCCCTGATGCTGCAGCATGGACACCTGGGAGTGCCCCATCATCCCTGGCTGCGGCTGAGGCGAGAGCTGCTGGACCAGGATCCCCTGCTGCTTCGGAACCATGGGCTGCCCCCCACTGCCCTGCTGGGGAGCAGGGGGCTGCTGCAGTGACGACACCTGTCCCAGCATGCTTTGCTGCTGCTGCGACACCTGTCCCAGCATGCTTTGCTGCTGCTGTTGCTGCGACACCTGTCCCAGCATGCTTTGCTGCTGCTGCTGTTGCGACACCTGTCCCAGCATGCTTTGCTGCTGCTGCGGCTGCTGTTGCGACACCTGTCCCAGCATGCTTTGCTGCTGCTGCTGTGACACCTGTCCCAGCATGCTTTGCTGCTGCTGCTGCTGCAGTGACACCTGTCCCAGCATACTTTGCTGCTGCTGCAATGACACCTGTCCCAGCATGCTTTGCTGCTG